GCATTCGTTTGCTAGCGCTGCCATAGTAAAATACCACGGACTGGGAGGCTTAAACGATAGAGATTTATTTTCTCTCAGTTCTGGAGGCTAGAAGTCTGAGATCAAGGTGTCGGCCGAGTTGGTTTCTCCTGAAGCTGGTAGATGGCCACCTTCTCACGTAGTCTTTCCTGAGTCAGTGCACATCCCTGGTGTCTCTGTGGCCACATTCCCTCTTCCCATAGGGAGAGCAGTCATGTTGGATTAAGCCCCACCCTAACAGTCTTATCTTAACTCGATCACCTCTTGAAAGGCCTTATCTGCAGAAACAGTCACATTCTGAGGTTCTGGAAGTTAGGAATTCAACATATGGACTTGAAGGGACAAATTCAGCCCATACCGATCAGTATCCATATTTCTGTGGATTATTTCTGTGGATTATTTAAGGGGGGGGGGAGCCTGTTCTCATGGAGGAGTCAGATCAGCTACAACATAGACTTAACAGGGCACCAGGGTTGGGCTGCATGTTTTCTAGAATTTTCTAGAAGAAAAAAATTAGGAGAAAATACATACCGCCTTGGGTTTGGTGATGAGTTTCTAGATACAACACCAAAAGCATAATCCCCCCACTCAAATTTAATAAACTGGACTTTATCAAATTTAAAAACTTTGCTCTGTGAATAGCACTGCTAAGAGAATGAAGATACAGGTTACCTACTGGGAGAAAATATTTGTCAATCACACATCAGGTAAAGGGCTTGGACCCAAAACACATACATAAAAAAAAAACTCTTGGGACACCTAGGTGGCTCAGTCGGTTAAGCGTCAGCTTCGGCTCAGGTCATGATCTCACAGTCCGTGAGTTCGAGCCCCACATCAGGCTCTGTGCTGACAGCTCAAAGCCTGGAGCCTGCTTTGGATTCTGTGTCCCCCTCTCTCTCTGCCCCTCCCTCACTCACGCTCTGTCTCTCTTTCTCAAAAACAAACATTAAAATTTTTTTTTTAATTCTTAAAACTCAATAATTACTGTGTGGCTCAGTCAGTTAAGCCTCTGACTCTTGATTTTGGTTCAGGTCATGCTCTCATGGTTCATGGGTTCGGAGCCCGCCATCAGGCTCTGCACTGACAGCACAGAATCTGCTTGGGCTTTTCTCTCTCCTCTCTCTCTCCCCTTCCTCCTGTTTGTGCCGTGTCTCCCTCTCTCTCTCTCTCTCTCTCTCTCTCTCTCTCTCTCTCTCAAAATAAATAAATAAACAAAAAGAAAGACACAACAATTACGAACAAAAATTTTAATGGACAAGATATCTGAACAGATACCTCACCAAAGAAGATCGACAAATGGCAAATAAGCATATGAAAAGATGCTCAACATCATTTAACTAGGGAAAAAACCAAAACATCAGTGAGATACCACTACATACCCATTAGGACTAAAACCCAAAATAATCTTTACAACACCAATTGCCTGCAAGGATGTGAAGCAACAGAAGTCTCATTCTTTGCTGACAGGATGCAAATGGTGCAACCACTTTGGAGACAGTGTGAGAATTCTAACTTTTGTCTTAGCGTAATGATGCAACACTCGTGCCATACATTCACCCAACTGATTGGAAGGTAGTTATGTCTGCCCTAAAACATATGTTTTATCTCTTTCAAATCCGTGATTTATTCATAATTACCAAAAACAAGATGTCCTTTTTTTAAAAATATAATTTATTGTCAAGCTAGCTAACATACAGAGTATACAGTGTGCTCTTGGCTTCGGGAGTAGATTCCCATGATTCATCGCTTACATACAACACCCAGTGCTCATCCCAACAAGCGCCCTCCTCAATGCCCATCGCCCATTTACCCTTCTCCCCCACCCCAATCAACCCTCAGTTTGTTCTCTGTATTTAAGAATCTCTTGTGGTTTGACTCCCTCTCAGTTTGTAACTATTCTTTTTTCTTCCCCCCAAGACGTCCTTTATTTTTTATTTTTATTTTTTTACGTTTATTTATTTTTTGAGAGACGTAGAGGGACAGAGCACAAGTTGGGGAGGGGCAGAGAGAGAAGGGGACATAGAATCCGAAGCAGGCTCCAGGCTCCGAGCCGTCAGCACAGAGCCCGACGCGGGGCTTGAACTCACAAACCGTGAGATCACGACCTGAGCCGAAGTCGGACGCCCAACCGACTGAGCCACCCAGGTGCCCCTAAGATGTCCTTTAATAGGTAAATAGATAAAGAAATTGTGGTATATCCATACAATGGGATGACACACACACAAAAAAGGAATGGGCCATCAAGACACAAAAACATGGATGAATATTGCTACGTGAAAAAAGGCCAGTCTGCAAGTCTAAATGTGTTATAATTCCATTTATGTGACAATCTGGAAAAGGCAAAACTATAGAGATAGTAACTGGGGGACTGGGGAAGCAGAGAGGTTCAGTAGATGAGGCACAGGAGATATTCTAGGGCAGTGATACTGTAACGATGGACACATGCCACCACGCACTTGTCAAAATCCATGAGTAGTTATAGCACAAAGAGGGACCCTCCATGTATGCGATTTTTAAAAATGTCTTAGGAGGGGAGCCTGGGTGGCTCAGTCCGTTAAGCATCTGACTTCGGCTCAGGTCATGATCTCACGATTTATGAATTCAAGCCCCGTGTCGAGCTCTGTACTAACAGTACGGAGCCCGCGTGTGATTTTCTCTGTCTCTGTCTCTGTCTCTGTCTCTGTCTCTCTCTGCCCCTACCCTGCTCATGCTCCTTCTCTCCAAATAAATAAATAAACTTTGTTTTATGTTTATTTATTTTTGAGAGAGAGAGAGAGACAGAGAGAGACAGAGAGAGACAGAGTGTGAGTGGGGGAGGAGCAGAGAGAGAGGGAGACACAGAATTCCAAAGCTGGCTTCAGGCTCTGAGTTGTCAGTACAGGGCCTGACCCAGAGCTCAGACTCACAAACTGTGAGATCATGACCTGAGCCGAAGTTGACGCTTAACCGACTGAGCCACCCAGGCGCCCCAATAAATAAACTTCTAAAAAATAAAAAAAAAAAACAAACAAATCATAGTACTAGATTATAACCCAAAGTGTAAACCATCCATGAGTCTGTACTGATATAAATGATTGAATAAATAGCAGAGAAGAGACATATCTCCCATGCAGAAGGATCCCAAATAACATATGTAGAGCATAACTCTCCCTCCTTAAGTGTGGACTTCACACAGTGACTTCCTTCCAATGAGGACAGTATGAAGGGGTGGGGGGCAGAGTACTTTACATTGGGGAAACTGACAGGACTTCAGGCAGGTGATGAAGTTTGAAAGCATGTAGATCAGGGTGATAGCATGTACCACTCATATGGTGTGACAAGAATGTCACTTTGCCTCTGTGGTCTTCCTCCCCAAAACTATAACCAGTCTAACTATGAGAAAAATATCAGGCACGCCCAATGGAGAACATTCTATGAAATGCTAACCAATACTCCTCAATTGAGGGGTGCCTGGGTGGCTCAGTCGGTTAAGCGTCCAACTCTTGGTTGTGGCTCAGGTCATGGTCTCACGGTTTCGTGGGTTCGGGCCCCACATCTGGCTCCATGCTGACAGTGTGGAGCCTGCCTGGGATTCTCTCTTTCCCTCTCTCTCTGCCCCTCCTCTGCTCGCACTGTCTCTCTCTCAAAAATAAATAAATAAACTTAAAAAAAAAAAAACCTGTCAATTGAAAATATGAGAAGGGTGGGACGCTTGGGTGGCTCAGTCGGTTAAGCATCCGACTTCAGCTCAGGTCATAATCGCGTGGTTCATGAGTTCGAGCCCCATGTTGGGCTCTGTGCCGACAGCACAGAGTCTGCTCGGGATTCTCTCTCTCCCTCTCTTTCTCTGCCCCTCCCCTTGCACTCTTTCTCTCAAAAATAAATAAATAAGCATTAAAAAAAAAGAAAAAAAAAGAGAGAAAGAGAGAAGGGGAGGAGAGAGGGAAGAATAAGAGTGGACAGAGAAAGGACATTAGGTAAAAACTACGAAACTCTGAGTTAAGTAATAATAATGGATCAGTATTAGTTCATTAATGGTAAGGAGGTGCCATAGTAATGTAAGATGTCAGCAATCAGGGACATTGGATGTAGAGTATATGAAAACTCTGTACCGTCTTTGAAATCTTTCTGTGCACCTACAACTACTCTAAAAGAAAAGTTTACTTTGAAGCTCCTGGGTGGCTCAGTCAGTTGAGTGTCCGACTCCTGATTTCGGCTCATCATCTCACAGTTTCATCAGTTCAAAGCCCGCAGAAACTGCTTGAGGTTCTCCCCCCTCTCTGCCCCTCCCCCGCTCGCACTCTCTATGTCCCTCTCAAAATAAATAACTTTTTAAAAAATTATAAAATAAAGGGCGCCTGGGTGGCTCAGTCAGTTAAATGTCTGACTTCGGCTCATTTTGGGGAACGCAACTGAATGGTCAGAAGGACATAATAATTGTGACTATAATAATAATCACAGAGTAATGCTTACCATGTGCCACACTGGGGGCCTTCCTTGAGATTCCCTTAAGATCACTTAGGGCGGCCATGGGAGGTAAATGTACTTCCTTCTGTTAGAGGGATGAGACCTCAGGGTAGGGTTTATTAATGTACTCACTCCTTTTACAAATACTAAGCACCCACTATGTGCCAAGCACTGTTCTAGGTGCCACAGGTACAGCACTGATCAAAACGGAAACCTCTGCTTTCCTGGGGCTTGCATTATAATGGGTGGGGACAGACATTAAACAACACAAACCAGGGGGTGCCTAGATGGCTCACTGGGTTGAGAGTCCAACTCTTGATTTCAGCTCAGGTCATGATCCCGGGATGGTGGACTCTAACCCCACATCAGGCTCTGCGCTGAGCAGCTTGGAGCCTGGAGCCTGCTTCAGATTCCGTGTCTTCCTCTCTCTCTGCCCCTTCCCTGGTCATGTTCTGTGTCTCTGTCTCTCAATAATAAATAAACGTTAAAAATTTTTTTTTAATAAAAAGAAAAAAGCAGATAAATCAGCGAGGTCCATGGCGCAGCGCATGGTGAGAAGTGCTCTGGAGAAGCAGAAAGCAGGGAAGGGGAGAGAAGGGAAGGGCTCATGGAACAGGAGACAAATGAAGAGATTTGGGGGTGGGTACGTGCCGGCACGTGGAAGAAACAGTCTAGGCGGAGGGAAGAGCTAGTGCGAAGGCCCAGGGGTGGGAACATGCCTGGTCTGTGCAAGAAGTCAGAGAGGTGCAGGGGGCCTGGCTGGGCAGGGTCCTGCTGGCCATGGAGAAGACGTAAGCGATGGGCTGGGTTTGGAGCAGAGCAGTGGCAGGATCTGACTTTGGCTTTAACAGATCATTCTGGCTTCTATGTTGACTGCAGGGGGCCTCCAATGAGGAGGCTGAGGAACCAGTCTGGGAGAGGGATGACGGCAGCTTGGACCAGGATGGTGGCAGTGAGGTGGAGACAGCAGGTGGGTTCTGGTTCTAATTTGAAAGTAGGAGGTAGAGTCCATAGCCTGTGCTGGTGTTTGAGTTTGGCACGTAAAATAGAGGAATCAAGGACGCCAGTCCTCCTCAGCTGCACCCGCCCAAGTGTCTCCTGGAGTCCCTTTTTCCAAACCCGCGGACACCCCTCCCACCGCCGGGAAACCCACAACTTGGCTTAACCTCCTGAGACTGGAGTGGGAAATGCCAGAGCACATCCTGAGCCTTTTGGTTCATCCTGGGCAAAGCCTTAAAGAAGGTAGAACGTGGAGCACGGAGCCAGGCTTGGACCGCATCTTCCTTCCGTGGTTGATTCCAGAGTCCTGGACCTCCAAGTCTTCCTCAGGGCTAGCAGGGAGTGGAGGCTGGGGAGGGTCAAACCAGCTGGAAGCTGGTGTGACCTGGGACAAGTCCCTTCGTCTCTCTGAAGCTCCATTCTCTCCTCTCTACACTGGAGGCAGCCATTCTGACTTTGTTGGGGAGCCGTGACAAGCAAACGAGATTTTTAAAAAATATATGAAAATTGCTGGCCTGTGATTGGGTCTGGCTCGGTATATGTGTCACTTTCCCCATCCCCTTTAAATGACAGGATTTAGGAGTATACCCCTCAAGTAATTCAAGTTTTAAAAGTCAACTTTGTTGAGGGGCATACAGCACACTGTGTACATATGAAGTGGACAAGTTTTCTTGAGGTCCTTTGCAATTCATCCTTGCCTGTACCTCGGCCCCAGAAATCCCTGATCTGCTTTCCGATGTAATAGATCAGTTTGCACCTTACAGAATTTAACAACAATGGAATCATAGAGCCTTTTGTTACCAGCTTCTTTCACTTAGCATGATGTTTTCGAGTTTCACCCGTGGTATATGCATCAGTCATTCATTTCATATTATTACCGAGTCGCATTCCATTGCATGGATGGACCACAGTCTGTTTATCCATTTTCCAATAGATAGATGCGTAAATTGTCTCCAATTCTGAGTTATTGTGCATAGTGCTGCTATAAACAGTCACATCCAGGTCTTTACATGGACGTATGCTGTCATTTCTCTTGCACATAATATACCCAGGAGTGGGATGGAGGGGTTGTAAGATTAAGTGTATGTTTAGCTTTTAAGAAACCATCAGGGCGCCTGGGTGGCTCAGTCGGTTAAGCCCCCAAGTCTTGATTTCAGCTCAGGTCATGATCTCACAGTTTGTGAGATTGAGCCCTGGGTCAGGCTCTGTGCGGACAGTGCAAAGGATTCTCTCTCCCACTCTCTCTCTGCCCCTCCCCTGTTCTCTCTAGCACGCTCTCTCTCTCTCTCTTTCTCTCAAAAATAAATAAATATTTTTTAAAAAAAAGAAAAAAGAAAGAAGCCATCAAGCAGTGTTCCATAATGGTTGTACCCTTTTACATTTCCATCAGACTCCATTTTTTTACCATCTAGAGAAACATCACTTGGTTGATCAAGAAGACAAAAGAGCATGCCGAGGAAAGTCGCCCATGTGACTGTCACGGTTTGTGTGTAATTACCGTGCAACCCAACAATTAGGCAGCCTGTTAAGCATTTGGAGCTGTGCTCAAAGATGTATTCTGTTACATCATCAGTCATTCTTCTACCCTGCTCTGGGGACAGTGCTTCACCCAGAGCTTTTGGTTTTTGGTTTTTCCAGTGAGGGTATACTGCAATCTCCTTAGCACAGTTTGTAATGTAAATGAGACCAGAAGACACATAACACATACGGACACATCTATCTCTCCCCCCACCCCACCAACACACACGCATGCTCACATGCACACACACGGTAACTTGGAACACCTTTGGGTAAACAAACTCGGGAAAACATCCAGCTCCAACATGATGACCTATTAAGAGTATCGTCCGCTCTGTCTGATCCCCATCCCCCACATCCTGAGAAAAGGTTTTGATTATAAGAATTTAATTTTAGAATACTGTTAGATGTGCAGAAGAGCGTGAAGGTAGTACAAAGCTCCCTGCTGCCCCACACCCAATGTCTCCTATTGCTGGCATCTTACGTTACTATGGTACCTTTGTCACAACTACTGTACTAATACTGATCCATTGTCATTAGTTAGTTCTGATTCCTTAGTTTTTGCCTAAAGTCCTTTCTCTGTCCCAGGATCCCGCATTACATCCAGTCATCAGCTCTCCTTAGACCCCTCCAGTTTTTAAAAAAAATTTTAATGTTTATTTAGTTTTGAGAGAGAGAGA